ATATATATATATATATATATATATATATATATATATATATATATATAATCCTTAAATGCCTGATTAAAAACCGATATTATGTTTGATGAATTAATCTAGTATCAAGTTTTCTTTACTTAATGGCCTTGGACGCATGCTTTTTAGAGATTTTTTACTCATTATTCCAAGTTCTTGATTATTTTTTCAAATATAATGATATCTCTCATATCTACTTTTCCATAAACAGTTTAGTATCGGTTTTTCTCGTCTCTAGTCGTGATGTCGACTGAGACGACTGACGCTTAAGCTTTTTAAATTAATGAATTTAAATATAAAACAACATTAAATTAAAAAAAAATAGGTGTATTTCAGTCATAAAAATTATATGTGAAAAGAAATTGCTATATTGTCAAATAACAATGTTCATATTACGAACCTCTGGCCACATAATCGTTTAATCGAAATCGAAATGACGATTAAAGTAATTCTTTTTCAAATTGTCACGGAGAGTGTGCGATTTACCTTTCTGTCATCGAGAGTCTAGACGTAGATTAGGGGTTCCACCCCTATGTTGTGGATATTCCAAAGATTGAAGCGAGAAGCGTTACGGTCCCACATTTATATGGCGAACGGCTATGGAATTAACTCCCTGCAGACTTATTCCCTGAACGCTGTAACTTGTTATAAGCATTTTTTTTAATTAAATGTACTTGCTCTTGACCACTACCTAGCTCTGGAGCAAAGACAGGATCTACGATGGAACGAGCTCGCCCAGGAGATGCCTATTCAGCCGCACTATCCAAAAGCTTGCTCTAGAGGCTTGCGTGCCAAACCCTGTCAAAGGCCTTCGAGACATCGAGTGACACAGCTAGAGCCTCGCCGTGTCTCTCGATAGCTTAGCCCCCGCAGGGCGTAACATACACGAGAAGATCCCCAGCTAATCGTCCCCGGCGAAAACCATATTGACGATCACTAAGTAGGTAGTTTGTTTCAAGGTATGATAGCTTGTTATACTGAAGTTTTTGCATAACCTTACAGAGTATGGAAGTAATAGCGATAGGTCGATAAATGCAGGGGTCGGCGCGACTGCCCTTTTTTGGGGACTGGTTGCACATTTGCAAGCTTCCATGATCCTGGAACTATTCTCGTTTTGAGAGACGCGTCAGCACAGGAGTCAACTCACGCGCACAAATCCTCAGTACTCATGCCGTCAGGTCCACAAGCTTTGTTAACGTCTAGATTTCGCAGAACTCTACAAATCTCTTTTGCATGGATTGTATAGTGAAGTATCACATCGAGGTAAGGTTGGTGGTTGTTTAGAGCTTGCGTCTAGACGTGAATTGCTCGCAAATATAGAAGCAAATAAAATTAGAACATTACATTCATTTATTATTCTTAATGACATAAAAATTAAGTTCTTGTATGTAGTTCTTTTGCACATGTGTGCACATCTGGATTTGTTTTAAATCGTAATATTCCATACATATTCATTTTTCCTTTACTTTTCGGTTTTCCTTCCGTCCGTTTCGTAACTCTTTATTTTGACGTCTGCGTCTGCGCAATGTAGGTATTTAGTGCTATTTAGTACAAAAAGAAAATTATAATTCACGAAGAACGCCCAGAAACGATGGCTCGTTAAAGACAATTTTACCTTTAACTGTCCCTGTGGCCGAATGGTTACCAAGCTGGTCTGCCACGCCGAGGTCCCGGGCTTGATTCCCGGGCCGGGTGAAATATTTCTATGGCCTACAATTATTTCTACATGTTTGGATGTAATTTGTGAGTGTCATTTGAGTGCGCGCTATTTATTTAATACTTTATATTTATCTTATTTTTTATGGTAACAAGAGACGGGACGAACAAGTCGTGCTATTTACCACCAGGCGTACAAGCTCTGCAGCTTTAAATCGCAAATATTTTACACTGGGGCACTGCCACAGTCATGGGACTTCTTAACGTTGTGTCTCAGTGTGTTTGTGTGTGCCTGTAATTTCACCAGCACCCATGCCGTTCAAAACCGGAACTTACTGCTTGGAGGTCGGTTTTTTAACCGGAGGTTAGGTTATTAATTTAGCAGTGACAGCCGTTTCATAACAATAAAAAAAAACATGTTAACATCTGTTAAATCAGATGATTATGATTTTTAGTACTTGTTAGTAAATGTACCAGATACCTTGTACCATTTACGATATATTTGTATACATAATGTTTGCCTGGACACAAAACTATAGTCATCATGTCGACTTGTATACAACCTATTACAAACAACTGATAGTTAAATCGCCACGTTAAAATTACTGATGGTTTTTTTATAGTAACGGGACGTACAAGCCTGGTGCGCGTGGTGGTAAGGAATACACCTGTTCATAACAGTTGCAGGGCCGCTCAGAGATTTGAATCGCAAAGATCTGTGAGACACTGCCCTTGCGCCCATCACCCTGAGACATGAGTTAAGAAGTCCCATATGTCAGTAATTTCGCTAGCACCATTAGCCTTCGAACTATTCGTACCTTAGTTCTGAATTCAAATTATTATAGATGATAAACCTAATTAAAACCTTGTAAGTGGCAGAAGCGCCAACTAATCTAATTTATATTCGGATGCATTCGGAAATCCGAAGATTGCCGAGGGATAAGAAAACAGGTACTGTTAGGTGTTTACTAAACAAGTCACACAATGTACAAAACTACGAAGCCATCCGCTGATAAACAATGACAAAATAACAAAGGTATGCAATGAAAAGGCGCCAAAAACAAATGCAGTTAAATTTAGAACTAAAAAAGTCATTCAAAGAAGGCTCAATATGTAGACAAAGAAGATTCAATATGTATTTTAATTCAAAATTATTTATAGGAGACAGTTTTTGGTTGCACGACATTTGCATCAGCGAATTTTTTGCGATTCACTAAAACAACTTACAATTGTATGTATTAAAGAACTGATATAAAAATGCTGTCACAATATAGAACATTTTAACGCTTGGTCAGAAATAGTTTTATGTCCATATAATAAGGGCGAAAAAAACGTGTGTTTCGGGTCGGCAGTCCAATGGATCCACTTTGCAATTGATTCAATCAAGAGTTAGGACTGATTCCATTGAGAAGTTTTTTTAGTGTAGTGGATAGAGATAGCTCAAAGCTGTCCACCCCTCGAAGAGACAAGCGTGAAAGTACTCAATGTAAGAACAAATTTAAAATAAACTATTTTTTTTTAATCATGTGAAATAAAGGAAACTGTGCAAGCACGCGAACGAATGGTCTCCTCCCCTGTGGTAGATTCTTAACATCAGACTGCCCTATTAACACAAAATTCTAAATTCGAATTGCAATATTCACTGCAATAAAATTGAACAATAACTTTTAAAGTAATAAAAACATAAACAATGTCCATTGAAAAAAAAAAACAACTTACCAAGCATAAAAAGGTTCCAGTAGTTCAGCATACGGAATCATAAGGTTGCCTTTCACTGTGTAGACTGGATTCCATTGTGGAGGAGATTCTATTTAAAAAAAAAGAAATATTTATTAATTATACAAGACCATTTTTTATCATTTCTTCTTAAGTAAGTATGTACTCAAGTGATTGGGTTTAAAAGAAAATTTTTGCCAATCGGTTGAAAGTGCACTCTCTTTCTAACACATTTATCTTTCGTAGCAGTATAATAAAAAGTGGCAAGCCTGATGTGCTCTTGACTGTACCTGTACCTCATATTTAATAAAACTCAAGAATTTAAAACCAATAACAACATAGACGCTAAAAGCAACTCTGGTATTTAGAAATGAAGGATGTCCCAAGTAGAACACAAAATATCACTTTAGTATAAAATGTTTCTTATCTCTTATTTAATGGTTGGAATAGGGTGTTCCAAATACTAATACATAAATTTACTTAGTGAAAAGTTGTTATCTACTGTATTTTTTACATGGTACCACTAGATTTACTTTAAAATCCAACTTCAGTTTTCTAAGTAAATAATTTTATCCCACAAAGCAGTAAAACTATTTCTCCCTGAACACCCTATTCCGGTCATTCCTCACATTCCTGGCTGTAATAGCATTTTTATGTTATTTATTGTGTGAATAAATTAGTCTCTAAATTCCTGTCTGGTCAGGAAGTCACATAGGGAAAAAGATACCGAGAAACTAAAATTCGTGTGCACTCCAGATGAGGCACTCTAAACTTAGATAACTTATACATAAGAGAAGCATGATCTTGTGACCTTATGAAATTAAAAATAATTGCAAACACAAGGCAAATTAATTCATGGAAATTAATAATGGAAATTATTAATAGTAATATAATAATCCAAATATTAAGAAAAAAGTTCACACTTACCTTTATCAACGTAAAATCCCAATGTAGTGCCTACATAGAGGCAGAATATGAAGACAAACATGTTGCACGACCACACACGACCGCAGCCCTAAGCAGAATCTGTGGCAGAATGACACAATTACCCACCAACCTTCCAAGAAAAAACGCAACACCGCAAATGGACAAAACTTTCAATTTAGCTTAATAATATTCTCAGAATTCAAACCACCTGGCTTTAATTACTTTTTTATCAAGAAATGGTGCCTCAAATATTTAAACAACGATGATTTCACAATCTGTTTTTATATAGTAGCCGGTTACAACAAAGAACTCGAGTCACATACCTTCTTGTAAAATAAGTTATTTACAATAAGCTATAATTATGATTTAAAAGCTCACATGGTTGTTTTATATAATATATTACTTACCTATGGCTTTGAAGCGATTTATGCAGAAATAATCAAATTATTAATTAATCCCAAATTGTTTCGTAAACTTCAAGAAATTCAAACATTCGTTTTTATAGCAACAGCTGGATTTTGTTTGATTTCAAACTAACAAATCGTGCATCTCTTTCTTTTACGCGGAATTCTCTCAAACGTTAATTTCTTCAAACATGGGTCTTTAATTTGATGCTACTAGAACACGTCGGTATTATTTGCGTTTGGTTCTTAGACTATATTTTTTTCCATCCTCTAAGGTTTGGTTTGTCTCATGATGAGTGACATTTCGCTTCGATTTTATCTACTAATAATTTTCACTAATTTCACTTGCAATAACTAAACTTAACGTCACAGTCAAGGTCAAAGGTCAACATTCAAAAAAAAAAACAACATTGCGACCAATTTCCAAAGAGTACATTGTATATCTAGGTATAGAGTTATCAGCTCATGTAGTATCTAAACGCCATCTAGTGTCTAGCGATGGAACTATGGTTTCCTTGTACATACACATATCTATACTATTTTTCATTCTTTGTACTGGGTTCCTAGGGGTTTTATTTTTTAATGGATATTAAATTTAGCAATCAATAGTTCAAAATGAAACAATTTTTGTATCTAAATCATGTATTTATTTTTTCCTACATTTACTCAATCAACTTCAACTTTCAAATGACAAAAACAAATGTAATGAAATATAAAACAATTATACAAACATCACTCAATAATATTAAAATATTATATGCTTTGACAGTTTTGACACGCCAGAGAAATTCTTAAGGTGTATTGTTTGATTTTTGTAAATAACTTTCGAAGATCAAAAAAAATATTTGTAATTTTAATTCGAAATATGCAAATTTCAAGAATAATGAACATATTTGTATTTGAAATGAGCAAATATTTCTATAGCTTTGAAAAACATTTATAAATAAAAACAAAGTGTACTTATTTTTAGGGTCACAAACTGTGTATAGGTAATTATAGTAAAGTTGAGTATACATAAACAGTAGGTGAAATATGTATCCTCCATTTAAATGGAGTTCAATTGTCATTTCGGTTGCTACTTTTGTAACACCTTTTCTAACCTCACAAAGAAATAAATAAATTGAATTATAAATAGCCTCGTAATTCATCTACAAATTAATTTAGTAAAGACGGAAAGATTACATGTCAATTCCTTTCGATGTAGGCTTCAAATTTTTTTAACAAATTTGGTTCAAAGTGTATTACATAGCACTTAAGTATATTTAAAAAGAGCAATCCCTAGAATTTCTGGCTCGTTCTTCTCAGGGAAGGCAGCATAGTGAACGAGCAGTAGCTTAAAAAAATTAAGTTTTCGAGTGTAAATTAACTTTACCTTTGGAATTAATGATTCTTTGACTTTGTAAAAAGATATAGCGTAAATTGAAGTGTTTCTTTAGAAAATTCAAAGTAAGGTAACTAATTCACAATTATTGTAATTATAGCAAAAAAATAAGGTAGTTTGCAATAATATTGAACTTAACAAGTTGATGCCTTGACAATCTCAGTCAGCCGTGACCATGGGACCTGTAAAGCGAGACCTTTACAGGTCCCATGATCACGGCTGACTGAGATTGTCAAGCGTCGGTTTGTTTGAAAAACAAATATACGCGATTTAAATCCGAAAAATAGTTTCACACTATGTGTATCAATCGCGAAGACCTAAGAACTAGAGACAAGCACTCATGTTTTATTTGTACTTCTTCGCCTTTTGTTGCGGTACAGCAGAGCCAGATTCTGCATACTGTCTTCTTTATCTAAATCACTGACTCTGCTGGTACCATTTAAAATTTGATTGGTTATTCGACACCAATTATATGCAAAAAACCTGCTGGCGAAATCAAACGTAAATTCAATAAATTCTTTCTGATGAAATTGGCATTGCAAAAAATTGGTATTAATATTAACATACAAGACAGTTTTCATGTATTCTTTTAAATGGTTTATGTTGCTGTTATTTCTTAAAATGTAGCACAGAGTGTCTTGGATTTCTGAAAAATATTTTGTTAAATTTTCACTTGGATAGGTCAAAAAATTTTTCTTCTTTGAATATTCCCTGTGCTGGAGATATTTATTTGTTAATTGATCTTTGGCGTATAAACATTCTTTACATTTTTTACAATTTGTGACAATTTTTTTTGTTTTTCGCAACATGTATCCGGTTACATACTCGAGTTGACCCATTATTACGGGGTTGTTTTGTTTAATGTGAAAATCTTTAATAACATCATTCTCTTCATTTAAAATTATATCATCAAAATTCGTCTGGGAATGTTGCAAAGGAGTCTTATTTTTTGAAAAAAATATTTCATCAAATGACGCAAACATTGAACATAAATCTTTTTCACAATTGGAGCCAGGACTATAATTGCTACTCATGTTATTTACTAACAGTGATGCAAACGCTGCCTCAAAAGCAGCACAAGTTGGAGAATTATTTCTTGCTCCATGGCTACGTACACTGCCAAAAAAGTTCTCCAAGGGATCTTGGTTTAAATGTCTACACCAAAAGGATTTGACGTTATAATTAGAAAAAAGCGTGTTCCGCAAAATTAGCATATTTTCAATTGTTTTTCCCCAATTATTTATAGAGGGAACACTACCGGTGTTTCCATTCGAAGTCACAAATCTCATTGATTTTAAAACTCTTTTGGCCTGTAACCAAACCTCAATGTGTTTTGACATTGGAGTTACATTTTGAAGTAAATCCTTTCCAGATCGCCTCCTCGAATTATTTTGACTTCCATTGAGTGAGTCGAATAAATTGTCAATGAAGATAATTAAGTCTGCGGTGTCCGTAGATTCTTCAGGTAGTATTCCATGTTCTGAAAGTTAAAATAAAATTAATAAGTTACTCATGTATGATGAATACTATCAATTATTTTGCAACGATGTGAACAACGCTATATCTAATTGGCTTGCAATTAATAACTTCTTAATGAGAACCAAACTAATTGTGTGAAATTTACATTACCAAATGTTAGACAGATGGCTACAAACATTATAGTTAGAAACGAAAAACTGAATCTTGTACATAGTTGTATTTCTAGGTATAATGTTAGATGCTAAGTTGCAATGGGGGTCCACGTATAAGTAAGTTATCAAAACGGCTCAGCTCTGCAGTGTACGCGATAAAAAATACGAAAACTTTCAGACGTCAAACCGCCAGATTGGTTTCCTTCGGTTTTTTTTCATAGTTTAATGGTATACGGCATTTTGCATTGGGGTAATGACGCAATCTTTGTCGTACAGAAACGCGCAGTTAGGGCAATTTACAACCTGGGCCCCAGAGTGTCTTTGAGAGATAAATTTAAAGAAATTAACTGTTTACACTAGCAGCACAACTATTTAATTCACTATATATTCACTTACCAGCTAAGTATCCCATCGTTTTACCAACTGTTTGACTGAATATTTGAGAAGCATACTTCACTTTCATTTTTGGGATTTTTTCCTTGTTGCAATGGTTTTCTGTCAAGTTTTTTATAATTTTTAAACCTTTATATGTGGGATTGTTAGCATATAATTGAGTGATATGCTCCCATTTTGCAACTTTTTCTTCTTCTCCGATTTTGAAATTCAAATTTTTCGTTAGTAAGTTGTTTCGTAGTCCCTTTAATAAGTGTGGTACATCGTACAGCGGAATAACTTGCTTGCCATCGATTTCAAATATTGAATCCTGTAATAACTCGTTTTTCTTCAAATATTCTTTTCTTGTCTCCTCAATGAGATAATTTATAGCACTGGTATTTGAAGTACCTTGATCACAAATTGTTGCTAGTACTTTAAAGCCAATTGAATGCAATTTTTTGATTATTTCCTTGATTTGAACTGCCAAGACATCTTTAGGTGTAGTTCCGGCACAAAATGAGTAACTCAAGGGCTGCTTGTAGTTTTTCGTTATGCCCCGAATCATGAAAACAAGAACATGGTCTGCTATTTTCTTGGTTGATTCGCCACAGTGGTTCACAAATCCTGAAATGCGATCTTTTTTTCTGTTGTATTCAAAATGTGGCGTCAATGCCATCTCATCAAAGATTAATGAGCATAACTTGTCATCTTCTTTCATTTTCTTTATTTGTACTTTGAGTTGTTCAAAAATATTGTCATTTAGACCTGGTTTCAAATTGGCTTGTGATATCATACGGGAAAGAGTCACCGGTGATGGCAAGACAAATATTTTGCTAAGCCATCTGTACGCTTTTGGTCCCGCCTTGTACACACTTAGTGCCATTATCTTTTCTTCTTTTGTGAACCTTCTTCCCATCTTTGGTTTCCCTATTTGTCGAAACTGCATCAGAGTGAAAATAGCAGCCAAGGTCTTAAATTGTTTTAATGCATTTTGGAAAGCATTGTTGGTGGAAAGTTTCTGAGCTTTTTTGAGTCTCTTCGAATAGGAGTCATTTTGTTTTTTTAACCGGACAATTTTTTTGGCCAAATCCTTTTCATGTTCGCTAGTCTTTTTAACTGCTTCTAAAAACAAAAAAAAAATGAGTAACAGTAGTGAATCTTGAAAATAATTGAAAATTCTGAAAATCTTGTAATGTCTTTAAATACAAAAAATACCCTACACATAAAATAGAGCCTTGTATAAAGTGACTATGACATGTGGGTATGAAGTGACTGCACAGTAGTTCCTTTGAATTATTCCTTCTAGTGCATTGGATCAATGTACTTACTTCTTCGATTACACAAAGTGTTGTTCTGTAGCTGTGATGTGTTTGGGACATTTGACTGTGGTCGCAGCATTGCAATATTCTCACTACTGGGGCCAGGTTGATTCGTCACATCCATTAGTGGTCTTCTTAATTGGGACCCTGTAAATGAAAATTGACAGTTTTTTACAATTAACAAGCTTTAAAGTGGCACTCATATTTACTTTTGGTTAAAAAATGTAAGTTTACACATATTTCAATAATGAATATAATTCTTTAAATCTTCTTCTATTTTTGAACAGCAATAAAGAAATTCGCTGTTGTGCCCATATTACATTGTTAAGAGGTTGGAAATTGGGTAACTAGGTATTGACCGAGATTGAAATGCACTATCTTCAGAGCAACAGCGGTTCTTCTTAAAAGAATTATACAAAAAAGTCTGATGAAAAACAAAGCCTTACACAAACAACATCACGTTTTTTTGCCAATTGTAATAGTACCTCGTAAATTTTGTCACCTTACAGGGCATAAGTAACTTGCTAAGGGTAACATACTGTAATATAAATGTTTAATTATGATTAGTTGGTACACCTGGCATGACCGCCAGTCGGCATTATACGTTGATTATGCATAGATGCATTCCTTTTATTTGTGAGCTTTCCAAATAGTACACATACCTTTTAAGTTAAAATGAATACATAATTTTTGCATACCTGACAAGCAGAGTGTAGGTATAGCATTGTCACTCAGGAATTTACTTCTAGTATGGAAGCGGCTTTCAAAATGCAAGTGACATACACGGCGACGCTTGAAAATAACACTATTTTCTAAAGCTATTACATCACCGCCAACATTGTAAAGCCAGGTCCGAAAACGTTCTGGGTCTTTATCAGGGTTAGGAAATTTGTGAAGAATTTCCTTTTCCGAACCTGAAACAAGATATTCATACTATTTACTTAACAGTGTCAACTCAGTGTCTATCTCGGAATTCAAAACTAGAGCACAAAAGGAAGGGATTCTACCAATTATGAATAAGCCGGTGTATAGGAAGAAGCCAATTGGACATAGATTTCTTTAAATTGAATAGATTATTATTACCTGAGAAGGCCTGTCTATTTAGTTTTCATTATGATGAAGAAGACACTTAGATGTTCACAAAAATGATAATAAGAGACATGACAATAGAGTGGACTGACTACAGGTACTAAAGAAAAAGAGTAAACTTACCACAGTCCGGAACACAGCATTTTTTTTCCGAAGTCATTGTAGCAAATCGTAGTCCGTATTTCAAATAAGCCGAGGTCAACAAAATAGCAGTGGGAGTCCAAAAGGAGAAAGCAGAGGTCAACAATTTTAAACACAGACGCAAGAATCCAAAAACACAGCTCAGTAGTCGTAAACAAAGTAAAGAATTCCGAACCACACTCGATGACGCGCGGAGATGGAGTAAGCGAATTGAAATATGGATTGCCATCGCTGTTGTTGTTTAAAAATCACCTTAAAAATAACACGCAATTAAAAACAGGAACTACAAAAGCCGGCCATTGTTGTAAAAAATTACCACAAAATGACAATGACATGACAGTTAGTTTGACAGTTAAGATTACTTTCCGTTCCAAGCAAAATATTGTTTGCTTTCATTTAAGCTTTATTTTGAATATTATTATGATTTTATTATTATGATATTCTAAGCTCCAATGGGTCCGATGTTATCAAAATAATTATATCCATTGTGATTTTTCCATTGTAATAGTGGTAATATTCATCATACAAATGATAACGATTGTAATGAAAAACAAAGTATATGCGTCAAGTGAAACTTATTAGATTACCACTTTTTTTTTTTTTTTTTAATTTATTAAGGCTTTGGCAAAGCCATCAGCCTAAACATGAAGTTTGTTTCTGTAAATATGGCCGCCACAAAGAGGATAGGCAATTTGAGGCGGGGTGTTTGGATTGGCTCGGGATTCCTTAAAACGGGCCGATACGGATATTCTAGTTAGAGATTCATATAATTTCGCGTTTTAATCTTCGATTAAGGCACAATAGCACTATCCTATTCCACTTTAAACTAGATTTCACAAAATAATTGAAAGTCAAAATAAAAACGACACTTTTCCCTCCAAAAGGTCCAGAGCAGCTTAGATTACCACCATTTCATTTTGTGTTGCAATAATTTAATCTAATTCTTTGTTTTAATGCAAATTATTTACAATGTTTTAAAAAATATATGTTTGAAGTAAATTCCTGCCTTTAGAAAGTATGTTTTGAGTTCTGAAAAATTTTATAAAAATTGTATGGCCCATCAAAGGAGATGCTATCGCCATCTATTGAGTAACGACATAACTATGCTTCCATATACATAGGCCATACAAAGCAAAAATCTTCCTAGTGATTAGACCGTGCCAATTTCTACGAGTTGTGTCTATTTTAATTTGTATATTGTGTGGTATATTGTTTACAACGAGATTGTATCAAAAACCGCCAAACATTACATGATATTGCAAAAAAAAAGAAAATTTTGCATCAATTTAAAAATAGCATTAATATCTTGTAGTACAACGGCCGCATTATTTATCTACTTTATTCAGTACAAAAACAATGAGTAAAAAACCAATATCGTTCGGCAAAATCAGTTTTAAAGCAAACAAATCCTCGGAAACATCGGATAGTGATAAAAATGAGTCCACATCAGGGTTCGGAACGTTCGGGCGAACACCAATACAAGACGCTAAGGAAATCGAAGAGATAGCTGTCGACCTAGAAAATCAGCATGTAGAGCATGTGATGGGCATAAAAAATTTTGGTAAGAAACCTAAATAAGTCTAAAATATGCAGGACTTTACAATAGATGACATCGAAATGGATGGAGAAGCGGGGTGCGAGAAATTATATCATCATCAACTTATCATATAAAATCATTATCTATTGCAAAGTTAGCTATCTATATTGATATATAAAAATTCAAGATTTTGCTGTCTACATTTTTTTTAAATGTTATGGCCCTCTAAATAATCGACGATTTTGCCAATGTTCAGTAAAAATGATTATGTATTATAGTTTTGTAAAAATAATATAAAAATTATGGCGGACCATGCCATTAACAAGGTCAGTACCACCCACAAAACTATTACAGTCTACATTACTCATGATATAAATTATCAGGTTTATAGTTGAAGACTTGTAGAGTGTGCGGATAGGGGTATGTAGTACAGGTAGACACTATAACTCAATGAAGAGTACAAGCAAGAGCTAGGGATTATTTTAACTTCTGCACTTTTAATAGCAAAAAAGTAAAATTTTATTATTAGTTTTTTTGATGATACAAAGTAGCACCATAAACTGTACCCTGTACATAGCAATTCTAGTGCCTTTCAGAGCCTTAAATAGCAAAGATTTGAAGGGGCACTGTCACTGCGCCCCTCACCCTGAGACATAAGTTGATAACTGGAATGCAGTAATGCTCACAAAACTGCTTGGCGGCAGAAATAGATAAGGTGGCAGTTCTTCCCTAGACGAATTCTTATTTGATTTCTGATTTTGTTTAATAACAGTTAAACTAAAACTAAATAAGGTAATAAAAACCGATTCAAGGGATTCATTCACTTGTTTCATCAATCCCATAAATGTTTATAACTGAATTTTGCTAGAAATGTAGATTACATTAGTTATGTTAGGGAAGATAGAGATGTACCCCAGTGCTGGAACAATTGAGATACTGTCTGTTCAGCTATGGCTGTAATTTGTAAGTTATATACATTTTTTAATAATTTATTTATTTATTAATAAAAATTATTATATTAAAAATGAGAAAATATTAATTAATTAATAAGATTTTTCACAAAAAAATAATTTAATATCATGATGGTGAAACATCCTAACATTCAATAAAACTTAATTACAATGATGAAAGTGTCATCTCTACTCAGCGCCTGGTAGCTGTAAAGGTACCTCCCTGAGTGAAGAATAATTTAATTGATTTCTCACAAACTGCACTACAGCAAAAAAGTTGTTAAAAACCAAAACAATGTTCTGCAACAAACACATGGAAAAATTTGTCCATTGGTTCATTCTGTAGCTTAGTTGGCATGGTGTCTGGCACGGTTTGCTGGGAGATGTTGGCTCGAATTCAACTGGAATGAAGTGAATTTTTTCGAAATGTTCAATCTTTGTTTAATAATTATAACAAATACTTATATATATTGTATGCTTTAGCTGGGAATAGAATTTGAGTCCTTTGATACATATAACACTTATATGTATGAAACTTATATGATAGCAACAATACAATGTTCACCCACTAATAATGCCATTGTTTTTAAGGTAAAAAAGCTAAAAATTTCAACATTGAAGAATTAATGGAGCAAGCAAGAAAAACGGCACAAGAACATAATAAAAAAAGATTAGAGGCTGAAGCTGCACAATCTGCAGCCAAAGATGTTAAAAAAAATAATGACAATGATGACGATGATGACTTGATAGGACCTCCATTACCCCCCAGCATGGTAAAAGGGGAGGAAACATCATCAAAAACTTCAAAAGACGATGATTTAATTGGTCCACCAATACCAAAGTCGGCACAAGAGGCAGAAGAAGGTGACAAGGCAGCTGAAGGTGACAAGGAAGCTGAAGACAGTTATGATGAACTTAGTGGATCGGATGATGAGGAACTGACACTGGAAAAACGTATACCCAATACTCATGAGGTGAGAAAATATTGCATTTGAAAATTCGTAATAGAAATAGTGTGGATTTGTTATCCAATCAATTTGCAAAATAATGATGTCCATGTAAACCATTTACCAACCACCACCCACATGCACGCGCGCGCACACCCACACGCACGCACCCACGCACGCACCCACGCACGCACGCACGCACGCACGCACGCACGCATGCACGCACGCGCGCGCGCTCGCACTCACGTTCCACGTTCCACGTCTCCCTAATTTAAAGAAATGAAGAATACAAATTAAACACTTGTAGAAGCAGCAACATTTCTCATCAAGGATAAATTTACGTAACTATCACACCGATAACATAATGTAACTTTCCGTTTTATTATAAACAATTACTACTCTAACAAGAGCCTAGCTCTTATATCTAGATTTATTATAATTTGCAGGTAGAGATGCATCATGGTACCAAAGCAGTAGTAGCACTGGCTGTAGACCCTTCAGGGGCCCGGCTAGCTACAGGATCCATTGACTATGATGTCTCTTTTTGGGACTTTGCAGGTGAGACTGTCTTTCTAATTGTGTCTAAATATAAAACTAAGGTAGCAGTGCTCTACCTAGTTTTACTACAGTTTTTAGTTGTTGTATTGCTGCTTAGAATTCTTATTTATTAGTAGCTTGTTCTGTGTCATTCACAATTCCGCCAATGTCACGTAGGTAGCCTCTACACAGGAGGAGGTAGATTAATTTTCAAATATAACCTTTACTGCTGTATATGACACTCCAAGCAAATTTATCTAAAACAAAGCATAGCCTAATAAATCAGGGTTCTTCTTCTTTTAAATGTTATGGCCCCATCGAAGTAATCGATGATTTTCAATGTCGAGCTGATGAAAGCACGCGTTCTAACTTAAAAATTGACAGGAGAATTTCGACAGAATTCAATGAGAGGAGAATCTACAAATCTACAACATATTATTATCTTTCTAATTTGTGACAAAGAACCTACACAGACTATTACAGAAACATTTTTTTTTTATAAATTTACAAAGCACATGCACAAAGGGAGAACGGACTAATGTTAGGAGAAAGTTGATATTTTAGGAGGGAGGATACCTATATTTATAGTATGCTTAGAATTCATTTTTAGTACCGGCCAGTATTGGTGGCCGCGATTAACATTTTAATACTAAATTAGTAGTTTATGGGTATGTATACCAAAAAAATCGCAGATAAGAGCAATAACCACGCGATGCTTTGCGACGTCTGAGCAGATATCCTGCGTTATGCATATAAATTAGAACTACATACCACATGGTGCGTTGAAACAGGCGCGGCGATGGAACGCATACGACAAGGGGCCAGGAGACGAAGCGGGGAGGGGTGCTGCGATGCGTAAATAAGCGGCGTTACGTTGTGACACCTTCGCTCGTGTGGCTCTCGCTGCGTTGAAATCATAGCCATGCAACGCACCGGCAGCGCCCGTGTGGCATCGCTCTTAATGGCACGAATATTTCAAAATATAGGCCAAAGGGATATAACAAGTTATTGGTTTTCTGGTTTTTAAATAAATATTTTTTAACTATTTCACAGGTATGGACTCTTCAATGCGTTCTTTCCGAACCCTTCAACCCTGCGAGAACCATCCTATTAGAGCATTGCAATATTCAGCTACAGGAGACTCTATTCTGGTAGTCAGTGGGTCCGCACAGGCCAAAGTTCTGGACCGAGATGGATTTGAGGTGCTAGAATGTGTGAAAGGAGACCAGTATATTACTGATATGGCCAGGTAATAATCATAGATTAACTGACAAATAATTCTTAAACTACAAGTTGAAAAAGTAAAAATTCTAAAAAATTTAAATATATAGAATAGAAAATTCTTTCTTTTTTAGGAAATGAAACTATTTTTCCGGATTTAAATCGCGTATATTTGTTTTTTCAAACAAACCGACGTTTCGGGCCCTTTACAGGTCCCATGGTCACGGTTGACTGAGGTGGTACAGTCTTCAACCAGTTATGCCTAATATTGACGCAAACCGAAACGTCGGTTTGTTTGAAAAAACAAATATACGCGATTAAAATCCGGAAAAATAGTTTCATTTCCTATGTGTAACAATCGCGAAAACCTAAAAAATCTTTCTTTTTTGTTTTGCAATATTATATTCTGTAATCTGTGGCAATATCTTCAGTAGTTTAGCCGTAGCACAAGTTCCTCTGTATTGTTATCTGTATATATTATTATTATGGTAGCTTCATCCATCCGTCCTTCATTCATCATCATTCGGGCCTATGCGCCCCCTCGTCACTTAGAACATTAAATGGTCTATTGTGATCACCACTAATTACAGTTCGGAGCCAAGTTCAATAGCATTAAAGAACTGAAGGATTCTTATGTCCTCCGAAGGGTTTTTATGTCCTCTATCTAGTTGTTGCATGTGCTTTCCCAATAAGGGGTTGTTCCTTATTGGGAAAGCATTACAAGAAATAATGTTTAATGTTACATTTGATGGAATGTGACCATTATGTGGCTATAAGAAACAAATTTTAATTAGGGGATATATGGCAGGCAAAACTCAGTACTCATATGTGAGATTTTGCCCCTTCCTACCAAGCGACACGATAGAGTAAAGTAATCCACAGGGACTGACATCGAAAGGGCCGACATTGACACCCGTGTGTTACAGGCCTTATAAAAAAAAAGATAAAAAGAGATGTTTTGGTGCAGTCGTCTATTTGTAGAATTCGAAGAAACGAAACGGCGAGGTTTGTCGTCTTTGTCATCGTGAATAAAGCTATTTTCATACAAAATCTAGTGTGCAAAAGTGGTGCGACAGCGTCTAATTTGAAGGCAACCTTACCTTCATTTTAATTAATTCTCAATTCGTTTAAATAAACTGAATTTTTCTTGCAGAACTAAGGGCCACACAGCAGCGTTGAACTCCGGATGCTGGCATCCTCACATCAGAGAAGAATTCATGACATGTTCCCAAGACGGAACCCTTCGTCTCTGGCTTGTAGAAAACCCAAAACAACACAAAGCAGTAATCAAACCACGACAACAAGGAGGTTTAAAAACGAACCCAACAGCATGTGCATTTTCTAAGGATGGTAACACTGTAGCATGTGGCTGTTTTGATGGCTCCATTCAAATGTGGGACCATAGAAAGAATTTTGTCAACACAAGTATGCAACTCAGAGATGCTCATCAAAACCAGACAGAGATATCATGTATATCTTACTCGTACCTTGGATCTTTTTTGGCAAGTCGAGGCAATGATGACACTATGAAACTATGGGACTTAAGAAGCTTCAAGAAACCGTTGAACGTATTTAGTGATCTATTTTCAAGATACGAACAAACTGACTGCTCATTCAGTCCAGATGATAGCATGGTGTTTACTGGAGAATCATTACAAAAAGGACGGGATTTTGGACGATTGATATTCTACAATTCAAAAACGTTTGAAGAAGTCATGAATATTGAAGTGACAAAATCGCACATTATCAAAGCCGTTTGGCATGCAAAGTTGAATCAAATATTTGTCGGTTGTGGAAACGGTGTTGTGAAGTGTTACTATGACAATAAGAAAAGTCTACGTGGTGCGAAACTGTGTGTCATCAAGACTCATCGGAAGAGACACTCCGTAGAGGTTGTCAGTTCTCAACAAATTATCACACCTCATGCCTTACCATTATTCAGGCAAGAGAAACTACGGACAAGCAAGAAGAAAATGGAAAAGGACCGATTAGATCCGGTGAAATCTAGAAGACCAGATTTACCAATCACATCAGGCCAGGGAGGCAGGGTCGCTCAGTCTGGTAGTACATTAAGTTCATTTGTCATCAGAAATCTTGGTTTGAGCAAGCGAGTTGATGATGAACAGGATCCAAGAGAAGCCATTTTGAAGTATGCAAAGGAAGCAGAAGAAAATCCCTTCTGGGTTGCTCCAGCATACACAAAGACACAACCAAAGCCAATTTTCCAAGATGACGATGACAATGACGGACCATCTGATGCCAAGAAACAAAAATCTTCATAAATAAAATATTGTATGAAGTTTAATTATAATTGAATAAAATTATATTTTATTTTAAATGTATTATACCTACTAATAAATATTGCCCGTAGACCTGTCTTGTTGACAATGAGTGACAAATATTGCTTCGTTTTTCGATTTCTAACTTTTTCTTCAAGTTAAAATAACTGTTTCCGACACAACACCTTTTGAAGAGTTAAGTTTTCCATAAATTGCGAAAACTGTTTTAATGATCAGTGATCACTTACACAAAATGAAAATCTTTCCGTGGAATAAATACGCAATTCTCAACAGTAGAAGGGCAAATAAAAAAAAAATGTTAAATATCTACAACATTTAATACAATATGTTAACAAAACCTAATAAACTAAACTAAGCACTTGCTGCGACAGGTTCACGAGCAGAATCGACAGTCTCTCCGAAAGGATTTATTGGAGATCGAGCGTTATTCTGAAACAAAGTTTAATATGAGAATAGAATTATGACGTAAGGGACGTAGGAAAAACTTCAACAGTCAACTTTTAACTAATGTATTTATTGAACTGTGTTGTAATCTATGTATTTAAAATAATAACATCTGATATATGTGGGGGTATGTGCAGGTGCTTTAATTTTTCTAGAATTGCATTGTCTAGGTAAATTTGTCTCATTTTTCCACTTATTCGCTTTGAAACGAACTTTTTCGTCTGGGTGTTCTTTCTTGTTAGGGCGCGTTCTCATTACGTAGTGACGACAGATAGTCGTTTAGTTTAAAGTGTCGTGGCTTGTATATTTAAATGAAGTTCATACAGAACAACATGATTTACTGTCGTTCACGATTTTTTGACGTTACGACGACGGACTCTCGTGACTAGTGTTGTTAAAAAACCGTGTTTTTTCTGAGGTGAAAAAAAACATGAAAGTAACCGTTTTTTTCTGGAGTATGTTTTTTTTATAAAAGTATGAAAATAAAAATATGAAAATTGTATTTTTTTTACTTTATTATTATTATTTATTATTGTAATATAATTCTGCATAGATAAATTGCTCAAAATAAATCGGCAACACTCATAGTGTTGTCACTTTGTGGCGAATTCCCCGAATTGCGGGGGATTTCGACTCAATTGGGCATTTTGTGGGATTGACGCTATGTGGGGAAAATGCGGGGATTCTAATCTAATCATTTTACCTTTTTTTTTAATCTATCGATTGCTGTTGCATCGATACTTTGATGGTTACTGATAAATAAATAAACAACGCACACACTCAACATAGCCCCGCACTAGGGAAACCCTGTGTCGCGGGTGCCATGAACACACACATAGACAACCACAAATTACACCCAAACTCACGAGAGAAATAAATGTAGGCCATACAAACATTTCTCCCGGCCCGAGAATCGAACCTGGGACCTCTGCGTGGCAGTCCGGCATGGTAACCGTTCGGCCACTGAGGCAGATTTTATTCAACAGAAAGGCAAAAATATGTAAGCAAGCAATAAACATTTTGTTATAATATCAGTATGTTTTAACATAATACGATGTACAAATATTTAGTTGTAAATAAATAGTAATTAAATACGTGGGGCGCACTATAAGTTTCCGGAATGAATAAGAAAAAAATACTATAAATAGTCAGAAATTAATTTATTGCTTCTCAAAATATTCTCCGTTAGTGTTAATGCACTTTTTCAAAAATATAGTTAATGAGAGTCCACAATATTGAAATTTTTCATCTAAAAAAGATTTTTTACATCGAGATTTCTAACAAGTATGGAATTATACAAATCCAAAATTAATTTATACGTGTAATGCCCACGTTTTTGGGCAGAAATGTGTTAAAACCATGGCGGGTTGATTGGGTTTCAACCCACTGCTAACTGTGGTAAGAACTGTTTTTTGTTTTAATTCATACTCACCAATTTTTTAGCCCGTTCAGTGAGTATGGAGTACGCGAAGTGGTTTAATATAACACCGGTCGGTAATGCTACACCTTGGAATCTGTAGAGCTGTTTAACTTCGCTATCCGGACCACCTGAACATATTAATAAATTATGATTATTATTTGAGGTCATAAGACTCAAAAAGAGGGAGGTTATAAGTTTGAATCCTGTCTGTACCAGTAACACTTTTTCACTTTATTATTTCACACAGACACATTGATCACCTCCTTTCTTGATGACGGTTAGGAAAGCTATAGATAAACTTACCAGTCAACTTGTGAACAGCAGTGATAGTAACTCTGCCGATTTGAGATGTGTTGCTGATAAGGGGCCCCTTCGAAATGTCCACATGTTTCCCTATCCTATACAACGTAACCTTACCTGCAATAAAAATCATTTTTATATTAAACTGTTATTAATATATGTATAATAAATAAAGTATGTAAGATACCGATTCCCTCGAGGTCAATGGCATCTGTCACAATGATGGCAAAATATCTGATACGTTGGTAACTGGGCAATGTACCATAAGATGCAATCGAACACTTTAGCTCTCCCATATTCACGCCAAGCATGGGCCACCAGAGCAGCCGAGATCCGCAAGAGGCATAGATAACCAATTTCAACCATTGTACCCTTTGCGGTACAAACCTTGGGTCCCTGGGGGCCACAGGGATAACTCCCCATTAAAGACCTTACATTTCGCCGCGAAGGAACTTTTTTATGGTAGCTACTTCCGCTGAAGTAAACGTTTTGCAATTAAAAAGGAAAACAATTACCAGCTTTCCCCAATGATTCTTTCTTATTTTTTATATATCTCTCTATTAACTTTATTTACAAAGCATATTTCCTTTATTTGATGCCACGTAAATAGTTCTTATTTATATTCATTTAATTATTTTAAATTTAAATTGCACTCTTGTCTTATAAGCCTCAATGTGGGCTACCTATCAATAGTCCGAAATGACATTTTTCGGAAATAAAGTTTGGTCGAAATTTCATAATCTCGAAAGTAATTTTGAGAGGAAAATATTCACCATATCCTGAAAGAACAACTGTTTTGTTATAATTCGGTTTTTCGGTGTAATGAAAATTCGAATAAATGTTATTTCGGACAAAAATTTTCGATTTTGTAATAGGTTACCCTGAATGTGATACGTATGAGGGTAAATGGAAGAACATCTTAAATAATTGTATGTTTTACGAGAAGAATGAGTGCGAGTCCACATGTTCATAAATATTGCCTTCCATATTATGTTTTTTGTTTTATGATTATCATTTTGTTTCATTATTTTTTAATATTATTATCTATTTTAGACTCTCCCCTCTCCCGTGGCGGAAAAGATAAAACTACACTTCCGGACACGTAAGTCGAGCCACCTTGCATTTTCAGATTAACTGGCATAAGCTTAAACAATGTTTGATTGATCGAAAACTACTAAGCTGTTTTGAAATTGGTATACTAAACGTCATTTCCATGAGTCCTTGTTGAAAATTTGAATTTATAAAACCGGGAAAAACTATTTTCTTCAGTGATAATAATACTTTTGTATTCAGCCTTTTAACGATAAAAATGCAAGGTGGCTCGATTTACGTGTCCGGGAGTATATTATTGTTATTGATTATTGTTCTTGCTAATTACTATAATTGGATATGTCCGTTGTCATTAGAACAAATAAATAAATAAATGAAATATAATTATAAATAAAATAGAAGTTGTAATGCAAGAGTAACCGTAATAGGAGACTCTAGACAGCACCCTTAAATCTCCTGCGCTTGAGATTACACTGGCGCTTCCTACATGCAAAGCTAAATCTGCCGTAATAACCACTTTTACTTACCGTTATTTTTAGCGATGCTAGGTATCTGACTGCCTTTATGTTTGTTCTCCACAAACATCTCTTTGGCTAACTCTTCACCAACTTCCAACCGCTCTATGCTGAGTTTCTCTCTTATTAACTTTATATACTCGGCGCTAAGCGTTCTAAGCTCTACTTCTGTCGGTTTCCAATCGGGTAGGGTAGGTAGGTCTATGTCGTAGATGAAGGAACCGCTGCGTACTGGAACAGACAAAGAAATTTGATTGTACAGGGTAATAAAAAAACCATTGACCATTTTAAAGGAGGAGTATAATGGAAATAAAATATAATTATCGGTTTTTTTTTTCAAATACTGAACAAATGAATAAGTTATGATGTCTCAGTTTTCTGAAAAACTGAATAATATTGATACCCGACGATTAACACAGTGGGCGGAGTCAACGCGCGAGTTTATGTATTTAACAGACAACGAAGTATTAAACTAACGCGCGATGCGTTAGCGCAGGTCTGCCGTCGCGCGTCGTGACTTTCTGGCGTCTAGACAACTCGGCGCCGATCGTTCAATTTTATTTTCTAGTTTGAGGTAACCACACGTTAGAAATTATTGAGAAATATTAACATTAAAAAAAAGGGTTTTTTGTTCTATTTCACTAAAGTATTCTATTTCTGGTTCTTATGCACAGGAAAAAATGAACAATGATTTTTTTATCACCCTGTATTAATAAGTATAAAACCCTTTACAAACATAAATACGTATACACAGACATTCTTTCTAGACTATTTTTATTGGACGCCTAAAAAATAATAATATTTCTTTATTTCGGACCATTAAAACTATCCATAATATGTTAGTACGAGAATTTAAAAACAAGGTTAGCATAATACAGTACAGACTTAATTTATAAGTACATTATAAAAAAAAATGGTAAAATGTTGGGCTACGCCCTTAATTGGCTCAATCCAGAATTTTACTATTGGACAGTCAAAACTTCCCGCTATTGCATTTAGAATGCTGTTGGGACTTTGCCTCATGCGACTCAATCGCACGACAATCTTTTTCCGTATTACGGCCTGGAAGCTGTCCGTGTAAGCTTCCACAAACCTGGCCGCAAAAAAAAAGGTGGCATTCACCACGATATAGCTAATTTACTTCGCCGGAAAAAACTGTCAGGCGTTTTTATGTTAATTAGGCACTGAATGGTTTGATTTAGAATAAAATAGTTAGGCGCTTCATTTGTTCACATATGAAAATGGTCTTGATGGATTAGGCATTATATTACACTTTGATTAACCAATTTCTTATGGCAAGCCAACAGATAACTTGATTAAGTTATACAGACACTTTGCCACTAAACCACTGGAACTATTTATATTATGAGTGTGTTAAATGAACAACAATGATTTACTGGAGTCTTGTCAAATATTTACTCTTTAGAGTGGTTACATACAGCGACCTTTAATAGCGATGCAAACACGTGTTCGTGAAACGTTATACATACTATTTACGAATCTTTAACTTTCTATACTAATCTATATTGACTGACACACTTATATCCTGAAATATCCTTTATCTTACCAACGAGTGAGAGTAAGACTGGCCGGGATTTTCAGTCACATTATTCAATGACGGTTCCATTATACCCATGTACAGATTCGCCAAAACAAAATTCAAATCTCTTACTGTCGGGTCCTGGAAAGCTGTGCAAATTGACGGCGACGGAGTCCTTAAAGGCTTGCAATGCGCAGGCACCGAGCGCTAACGAGCACGTCCGCCAGAATGCCTTGTTCACCTGCTGCGGTTCCGCTACGGTAAAATTTTGGAACTGCAAAAAATAGAGGCTTATCGTCATTACAAATAATTTAAAACAAATTTTTTTGTTTCAAATGTTTCTTGTTCAGATGTTACAAAACATTAAAAAAAACCAAGCCCTTGGTTATTCACTACAATTGTTCTTAGCGTGGCGTTCAACCACTGATTGGAACTTTAAACCCAGAGCAAGTCAAGGATGATTATAAGAATAAAATAATTCCATTAGTTGTCATGTAATTAGTTTTTTCTAAAGGCCTATAATAACACTTGGGTGTCAACGTCAGTCTGTAATGTCAATCTCTGCGGATTATTCTACTCTATCTGGGCGTGTTGCCTCGTTGTGAGAGGCAAGATCTCACACATGATAACAGAGTATATTACACTTCTTTACCAATGAGTTACTTAGAACAAACTAATTGAAGTTAATTTCTTATAACCACATAATGGTCACATTCCATCCATGTAATTCATGTGTTTAGTACCTATAAGTCCCATATAATACACACATTAAACATATAATACACACATTAAAAAATGTATGTATAGTCTGTACCAATCCATTTTGAACAAAAAGTAAACAAACCTATTTGGTCAAAATTCTAAAGCAATCACTCAATAAATCGTATAAGTAACACTTTCACGAATATTTTGAAGATTTCTGCTTGAAATATACTTTTTCCAACAATATTCATTTGAATAGCATCGTAAAATCGTATTTGAAAAATGGTAGTCTAAAATTGAGGTTATTATTCATCTATACTTCTATGACTTGCCTATGGTTGCATAGAGCTGTTCGAAAAAAACATTCGATTCAATCAATTAAAATGTAGTAATCGATTATTACATCGAACATTTCAATCGCAATCGAACGAGTATCTGAGTGTAAGGATTTGAAGGAGAATTTGAATTGAGATTTTAAAAAACATGCTTATGTAGGTTATGTAAGGAAAACCGCTAGTATGACTCAATTGAACAAATCGATTCATTCAATTATTTAATAGATGTGTAGTTGGCGTTACAATTGGCCATCACTAAACCGTCTATGGTCGGGTCAGTGACTTGTTTGCTTAGTTTTTGTTCAAAATGGATTGAAACGAAGTATAAACACTGCCAGTTGATACCAAAATGGTAGCAACACAAATACACGGCTTCTTTTTCCAATAGCAGAACAAAGAAATTAGAATATTGCAATCATAACCCTTACTTTCTCTGATCAATAGGGATGACGGGGAAGGAATTTTACTTGCTCACCAGTGGACTGAAGTGGCAAAGGACATGCATAAAATATTCACAAATTTGTCTTACAAAAACTTACTTCTAATGTACAGTTCTCAGATAGCGGTCTGTGCATGTCCCAGTATACACTGCCATCTAACAGAGCCAGAGCACTGCTTTCAGTATGCCATTCGCTTAAGTCTGAAATTAAACAAAGACAAGTAATAATAATATATAATGTTTAGTCTCAGTTCAACATACTCTTAAAATCTACTTCAGAGAAATAAATTTGACACAAAAGGGAAAGGCTCAGTTTATGCTGGCACTGCAATGAGACAGTACAGTGCTGTTTTTCAGCCTTTCCCTAATCCGGTAATAATATAATAGAATTCATTTATTACAATGCCACAGCACAAAAATATACAGACAGAAATAAAAAAGGACAAAGCAAAAGTAAAACAAGAAATAAATAAAACACAGCAAACGCACCAATTTTTAAACAGTCAACTCTATTTTAATAATAATAGATAATATTTTTAAGGATTACTTAATTTAACGTCAAAAGTAATCAAAGTCAAATAATGATTTATTCTCCGAGACAACACAGTACATTGGCTATAGGTAAGTCAAATTACAGAGAATACAGACTTAAATTATACACGTTTAAATAATAGTAACGTCTTAACATTATGATTTTTTAATAAAATGAATATTCACTTATATTTGTATCCATAAATTCGTTGATTTTATAAAAAGCGTGATTTTCAAATTAAAATTTTAATGTTTGCTTGAATGTAGCCATTTCCAAGTCAGATACACTACCTGGTAGTTTATTGTACATATTAATTTTCATATTTACGCCCTGTTTTAACGTTTTTACTAATCTGGTTTTATTTGTTACTAGTTTATGTTTACTTCTCGTGTTATATGTATGTATGTTTGATATATATATATATATAGTAAAGTCTTAACATTATGATGTTTTAATAAAATGAATATTCACTTAGATTTGTATCCAAATGAATATTCACTTAGATTTGTATCTACGGCATACAATTTTTTGTTTCATGTATCTCTAGTAATCTGTACATCTGTACATTATATGTATAATATATACATCTGTACATTATATGTATGTATAATATTTCATTGTATATGTACAGTAGATCTGTACATATACAATGAAATTACAGTAATTATTCTATATTTAACAAAGTACTTTCTAGCAGATACACGTTTGTGAATACCAGCGATAATTCATATTGTTCGCTTTTGCAAGACCAACACTCTCTCAATATCAGAAGAATTTCCCCAGACAGTTAAAGTATAACCAATAATTGATTGAATATAAGCATAGTATACATTTAAAATACTTTCTTTATTCATTAGTGGTTTAAGTTTAAGTAAGGCGTAATTTGCCGCTGAGAGTTGTTTACATATCTTGTCAATGTGAAGAGAATGAGTCAATGTGTCCTGAATAACATATCCTAAAATGTAGTATATTTAGTGTCAATGTTCTTTTTTTCTGACTTTGTTTTGTACTCTATGGTAACAGTTTTTTTTCTTATTAAGGAAAAAACCGTTTGTGGTAAACCATTTACTAAGACTATCCATAACAAAAGTTTATTTTTCGAGCATTTGAATTTTATTTCAAAGTCAAAGTCAACGATCATTTATTCCATAGGTAAAATAAATTTGCACTTGAAAACGTTACATTTACATTACATTACATTAAGCTACTGCTCGTTCATTACGCTGACTTCCCTGAGAAGAACGAGCAAGAAACTCTAGGGATTGCTCTTTTCAAATAAACTTAAATGCTATGGAATACACTTTGAATCAAATTTGTGTGGATTCTGAAGCCGTGTAGTCTTTCCATACATCTTTATCTAACACGTAGTCTTCAATTTTGTAATATGACTTTTCGATGAAAATATTTTTAATGTAGTTTTAACGAAACCGTGGTGCCATGAGTTTGGACTTAGCTCTAAGGTTAATGTTATGGATATCTTCTTTCTTATTGAAATTATGAATATTTTTACGGGCATATAAAATATTTGAGTAAATGTACTGTGATGCCACAGTCATGATACCAGTCTCCTTAAACTTTTCTCTGAGAAAAACCCGAGTGCGTAGAAGGTACACAGAACGAATCGCTCGTTTTTGCAATACAAATATAGTTTGAATATCTGCCGCTTTACCCCACATGAGAATCCCGTAGGACATTATATTATGGAAGCAACTAAAGTAAACTAGTCTAGCAGTACTAACATCGGTAAGCTCAGGTATTCTGCGGACTGCGTATGCAGCGGAGCTTAACCTGCAGGTCAGGGAAGATATATGTGGAAATCATTGAAGTTTACTATCCAAGATCACTCCCAAGAAGACTACTTTATTAACAAGGTCTAATTTTTCTCCGTTTTTTTTTATGCTTGGACTAGTCGATTTTACGTTAGGTAATTCAAATTTAACACATTTTGTCTTTTTGGCATTAAGCAATAAATTGTTAGCATTAAACCAATAAAGTACCTTAGAGAGGGTATCATTAATATGGTCATAGTTAATGTCATGTCTGTCTGTTTTAAAAATCAAGGATGTGTCATCAGCAAACAATACTATTTCGCAATGGTCCTAAAACAAAGAATGGCAGATCATTAATATAAATCAGAAATAAGAAAGGTCCAAGTATTGAGCCCTGCGGAACACCCATTTTTACCGGAGAACCCAAAGAAGTCACTCCATTTATGTCTACTTTCTGAATTCTACCGTTGAGATATGACAAGACAAGTTCCAACGCCTTGCCATTTACACCGTAATGTTCCAGCTTCCTAATAAGAGTAATATGGTCAACGCAATCAAATGCCTTTGAGAGGTCACAGAAAACACTAATAGCGTTCTGGGACCTTTCCCAAGCATCAAAGATGTGTTTTAGTAACGCTACCCCCGCATCGCTAGTCGATCTACCACTAGTAAACCCGTATTGTTCATTATGAAAAATATTATTCCTACCGAAATAGGACAGTAATTGAGTCAGCATAACCTTTTCGAATATTTTACTTAAAGCTGGTAAAATTTAAATGGGCCTATAGTTGCAAGGATCAACTTTCCTACCGCTTTTGAATAAGGGAATAACCTTGCTGTATTTCATTAAATCGGGAAAAACACCTTCGTCAACGCACCTATTGAAAGCTACAGCTAAATGTGGGTAAATCAGATCAATAACTGAGTAGGTATATAACTTTAGTTGATATGCCCCAGAGATCTTCAATTTTTTTAACATGTATCGCTTTTATAATGTCTTGTGGATTAACATGACGGAAATTAAATAAACTGCCACAAACGTTAACATTTTCCTTTAGGAGATCAATAGCAAGAGAAGGGGAGGAATTTAATGATTCTATAGTGTTCACAGCAATTTTCGAAAAGAACGATTCAAAAGCTTGGGCTACCTTGTCTTTAGATTGTATAACTTTGCCGCCTAATTCTAAAACTATATCTCTATCGTGTTGTTTAACCCTGCCTGACTCTTTATTTATTATGCTCCAAGTAGTTTTCGATTTATTTATCGATTGTCTAATTTTGTCTATGTGAAACTTAACCTTAGCAGCTACACATACTTTTTTAAATATTTTTGAATAATTTCTAACATATTCTATTAAATTGGATATAGTATTATAAGTTTTCATAGCATATAGCTCATACAAACGAGACCTCCTCTTATGAATGCGTACTGTTGCCCAGTCGTTGAATTTCGTCTCTCTATGGAAAGTAAATGTTTTCGATTTAAATACATTATCAAATTCATTTTTAATTAAACCAAATTTCGTGCTATACTAAGTATTTGGAACCTCTGGTATATGGGGCAGGGAATTTAAGTAACTAATGTAAAGACGAATTTAACGAACTATTGCCGAAATTATTTTGAAATCTAATGATTCGTTCCGTGGTAATCGGTCTGCAGAGAAATTGATCTACCTTCTTGCTCATTTTACAATTAAAAGAAGCCAATTGGCCACTATATTACTGCCTCCGTGGCCGAACGGTTACCATGCTGGACTGTCACGCAAAGGTCCCGGGTTCGATTCCCGGGCCGGGAGAAATAATAGGGGTTAAAGTATGAAATTGCCGATTTGTACTGAAAATCTAAATTGTTTATTTTTTAAATTTTTAACAAATTTATTTAATCAAAATAGTTGCCATTATTATCTATACATTGCTGCCATCTAATGGGAAGATTATTAATGCCTTTGCGATAGAACTCCGACGATCTAGACTGCACAAACTGTGTGAAAGCATTTTGTACTGCCTCCTGGGAAGAAAACTTCTTGTCACATAGATAATTGTCCAAATCACGAAAAAAATGGTAGTCCGTTGGAGCAAGGTCTGGTGAATACGGAGGATGACGAATGGTTTCTAACTGCAGTTCCTGAAGGGTCAAAATGGTTTCTCGTGCTGTGTGAGGTCTCGCGTTGTCGTGGAGCAATAATGGTGAAGATCGATTCATGAGTCGGGGCTGTTTTACTGCTAGTTTTGTCAACATGGTTCGGAGTTCGGCACAATAGACATCTGCCGTTATTGCTTGACCAGATCGGAGAAAACTATAGTGAATAACACCATGCTGAGACCACCAAACAGTTACCATTACCTTTTTATTGGTAAGTTTTGCTTTAGGACACTGTTGTGGCATTTGACCTAGGGTCAGCCATTGCATTTTTCTTTTCCGGTTATCATAAAGAATCCACTTTTCATCACATGTTACAATTCAATCCAATATTCCTTCATTTCTGTACCGGTTCAACAAGGCAACACAAGTTTCAACACGCGTTTCTTTCTGCAGATCAGTCAAATCATGAGGCACCCATTTTTCGTATTTTTTTATTTTATTGATTTGACGCAAGTGAGTCAATATTGTGGGTAAGGTAACGTTAAACCATGCCGCTAATTCCTGGGTAGTTTGACTAGGATCGGCTTCCACTATCTCTCTTAATTCATCGTTATTCACCTGTGTGGGCGGTCTTCCTCGTGGCTCGTTCTTTAAGTCGAAACTTCCATCACGAAAGCGTTTAAACCAAAATCGCACGGTGCGTTCATTAGTAGACCCCTCTCCAAACGCAGCATTGATATTGCGGGCTGTTTCTGCCGCGTTAGTTCCGCGTCGGAACTCGTATTCAAAAATCACTCGAATTTTCGCAGTATCCATCTTTCTTGTCTAAATTGAATAACAAAAACAATTGAAAGTCGATATTCAAATGTTTCAAATTTAAAAAAAAAAAATCACAGGAACCATTTGAAAAAAGTTTCATTCGAAAACCTCAAACCATGAAGATTCTATGAAAATTCAAAGAACCTATTGCAATAAAACGGCATTTTCATACTTTAACCCCTAATATTTGTATGGCCTACATTTATTTCTCCCGTGAGTGTGGGTGGAGTTTGTGGTTGTCTATATGTGTGTCCATGGCACCCGCGATACAGGGCGCGTGTGCGGCTAGTGCGGGGCTATGAGTGTGTACGCGTTATTATTATTATTATTATGGTCTGATCTTAAATAATTTATTATTGATTTAGACACAGCGTCTGTGTTACAAAAGATATTATCAATACAAGTAGAAGAGGAGGCAGTGATGCGAGTTGGTTCTAAGAAAAGATTAATCAAGTTAAAACTTTTAAATAAATTAATGAGTCTTACAGAAGTAGAACAGTTTTCCAACAGGTTTACATTGAAATCTCCACATATTACTACGTTTTTTTTGGTTGGAAAAATCCGCTTTAAACTATCTTCCATAATTAATCCAAACTCGTTAAAATTCGCAGAGGCTGTATACACATAGGACAACAAACTGATCCAATTCCACACATGAAATCTTAAAGTTCAATCAGTAGAAAGATCTGTGATATCCTTATGATCTTTAAATTTTAAGTTAAATTTTATAATTATCATGGATCCGCCTCTATTTATAATCTTTCTTATGTATGAACAGACTGTTACATAATTTATGGCTGCTATTCCTACATGAGTATCATCTGCGAATAGATTTACATTTGACCATGATGGTCATTAAGCAAGCAAGCAAGTCATTAACATAGATGAGGAATAACAAAGGTCCTAATATTGAACCTTGCGGAACTCTGATGTAAATTTTTCTAACATCAGAAAATATGTCTTCCACCTTTACAGACTCGAGTTCTATTCGAAAGATAGGACTTCATTACACTTAGTTGCTTATTCTTAAAGCCGTAATATTCTAGTTTTTTTTTATAAGAATGTCATGTTGTGGGCAGTCGAAAGCCTTCAACAAATCAGAAAAAATACTAATGCAGTTTTGGGCTCTATCTAGGGATTATAGTATTAAGTATACAACTTTTCTGATGGCAATTTCTGGCCCTTCCTGTTCTAAAGCCATTTGGCAGTCTATGAGCAATTTAAAGTAGTATACTATTTTCAAAGTTTTACATGTTTCAAGTTTTCTACACCCAGTTATTTTTAAATAAATATAATTTGATTCTTCAGCTGAGCATTCACAATCAACAACCCCGGAGGATGCCTCGGCAAAACACATTACCGCAAATATTCTTGGTGAAGGGAATTTACGACTGTAATGTAGGTATGTTGCACAATTTAACCTCCAATGGGTTCGCATAGTAGAAAATTAATTTACTTCCTTTTTTACCCAGTTGTTGTTTGCATAGTTTTTAGGTGCAGCCCCGAAACTGCACCTGGCTCAATGATAGAACTTGCAAATTTATTGTAATATTTATTAGGTATTGGATTTGGTGTCCTTATGGATGAGGGAGCCCATGGATCTGAGCCCGTAACATAAAAAGTAAGTGTAATACTTACGTCTAGCACAATCAAAAGGCGTCGAAATATCCTTATTCATTATCATGGTACATTCTTCAGGTATTCCCTTATATGTGACTTCAATTTTCTCCATTCTACCAACTTTCTCCATTTGACGGTTCTTCTCCAAAGTGAAGAGGTGATTTCTTCGCTCAATCGCTTCTTTTGTGCTCAAAAATCCTAAAAACACAATGGCTGTTTATGAAACTACTAGAATGCGAATGTAGAGGGCAAAAAAGTTTGCTAGAATTTAATCAATAGAGAAATCTGTGTTCGAACATTTCTACTAGGTTATTTCAGAAGAAAAATCATTACAAAACATGTAAATATACCAAACCATAAAAAGGACTTACTTATGAATGGTAAGTGTGTCGTCGTATTATTTTGTAATACAGTTTTAGATAAGCACGATAAATGACGCTTCATTTTTAGTTCTGTTTAGTATTTTTTGTGTTAAAATGTATCTTTTGTCAAGCTGTGCACCTCTTCAACTTTTTACTTCTTATTATGCCGATTTAAGGTTAGGGGTACGCCAAAGAGTAAAGTATTTGGGGGTTATGACATACTGTCAATATGACGTTTACGTAATCGTTCTTAAACGTACTTAATATGATTTTTGCAGTAAGGTCTCTCGCACACAATTGATTTTACAGATTGCGCAGTTAATATATTCTGTAATCTGTGGCAGTTAATAAAGATTTCAAAAAAGTCGTCAGAATGCTGTAACTATAAAGTAGTTCACTAAGTAGTCTGTGACTATAAATATAAATTGTATTCCATTGAGTGACCGTTAGTTAAAAAGACGCATGTGACAAAAACTCAAAATCGAGAAAACAATGTTTAAAGAATGGTAACGGAAAACAATATTTAAAAAGGTGCGGTAACTTCATATCTTATCCATAAATAAAAATAGTGAGAGATCGGCCTTTCTTTACTGATCACGGGCACGACAGTCATAACAAAATTATGGAAAAAATGTCACATGCGCCTTTTCAACTAACGACCACTTGATTGTCATAATTAAACAGCCAAGACCACACCAACCAAGATTACAACCAGATTGAATATAAATCATATAAGTGTCAAGCTTGACAAGCACAGATCTATACATCTTTCGCAAACACCTTTAAAACTTATACTAAGCATGTTGGAAATAACATAAACAGCTACCTGCTCTGTACTACTACTATAGTACTATGGTAGTATATTATTAACATGGACTTCCGCTAAGTAATGCCTGAATCTATTAAATTATATTATATTTACGATTCATTTGTATATAAATTAAATAGTATAAAACTGTACAAAATAACACTTTTAAATGAGAACTATGGTAACACAATATATTTGTTTAGTTAAAATTTTATATAAAATCCTGTTTTTACACTATGTTGCAGTAATTTTTACAAGTTATTATTGTATGGTACTGTAGCGGGTTACGTGGCAATGATGCAGCAGATGAACAAGCAAGAAAAGGGTCGGAGATGGACGCTGTAGGACCAGAACCCATAGTGTTCCTCGCCTAGCAAAGGTCCAGAACAACTATACACAAAGGTTCAAAATCTTCACATAATAATACATGGACCACCCTTATGGTTTGTAGACAGGCGAGGGAAGCATTACCAACACTCAATGCCAGTCTATCACAAATATTAATTAAACTCAAAAGGCAAGAGCTTCGCACTCTAACTGCCGCCCTAAACGGTTCATGGTCAATACAATAAACACCTTTTCAATTTAGGTATCACAGACAGCCCTCTATGCAGAGTGTGCATGGAGTGGGAGGATACGGCTGTGCACATCCTACTACAGTGCTCCGAAGTGGCCAACTACATGGTGAAGTACCTTGGAGTGCCAAGGTCACTCCCCGAAGTCTTCAGCAAACCGACGAGACTGCTGAGATTCCTGGAGGAGCTTGGGTAGCACGAGTAGGACCCTGCACTCGCCACGCGCAAAATAAGCGTCTTGATGTCGAGTTGCGGACACCAGCCCATTACACCAAGTACCAAGTATGGTACTGTATGATAGACAACCGCTCTGTCAGTCGAACAAATCAAGACTGTTGCGCGATTGACGCTCTATATGCGATTTTAACGCCCTACAGCTGCGAACACTTTGGCACGAACCTGACGTCCATTTATTTGTAGATCAATAGTAGCTACAGTGAAATTAAACATCCAAGTTGTAACAACATTACTGCTTTATTATTATACTTCATGGCTATCCAACCATAGTTCTTTTACGTCCTCTCGCACGAACCTCTTCAAATTTACTAATGATTTCCTTGACATTCTTTTTGCTATAACCCTTGTATGCTTCAAGAATTTTCTCAAATAACTCCGGGTAATCATTGTGAGTGCTTATTAAAGCTCTTTCAAGAACATACAAGTCAACTCCCTTATCTTCAGTACTCGTATCTATGAATGACAGACCAAAATCTATCATAACCAATTCCAAATTGTTTATCTGTGACCATACTGATTCATTACTTGGTGTTTTTGGTACAAGAAGCATATTAGACGTAGTCAAATCTCCATGTATGATATTATTTTCGTGCATTTTTCGTACTGTTTGACCAATCATTTTAGCTAAAGTATCTAAGCTATTTATTTGATCACCACTGCCATTTTGTTCTTCTTTTAAAAAGTTGATTATAAAGTCTTTAACAGTGACGCTTTCTTCAAAATGCTGCATGTATAATCTTCGACGTTCAAAATCTACTAAATAAAGAGTGGGTGTTTTAATATCGGCAGTTTTACACCTTACTATGGATCTAGCTTCGTTTTTAATCCTTTCTTTTGTTATAGAGACATCTAAATCTGGGTGTCTATAGTTTTTTTGGAATCTTTCCTTGATGAGAGTAGGTTGTCCGAGGTATTTGCAGATGTAGAGCTTTGCCTCAGCCCCTTGCTTCAATATTTTCAGATTTTCAGTCATTGTTTTTATGTAAAAGTCGGTGCATAACCCTACTTTTAATTCTGTGAAAACACATTTAAAGTCATGAATTAATTTTAAACTAATTTTGTCCTTGGTGGTCCATTCAGAAAGGAGAATAATTCACCTTCAAATAGCGTACTTTTCAATTAAATTCATTATAAAACAAAAATGTGTTCACTTTGCAAAGCGCATTAAAAGTTTGACATTTCGCTTAAAACTATATACGTAATAGTTACGCAAGAGATAGTGATAGACGGAACTGTACAAAGCTACTTCCGTTTAACATGTTAACTTTTAGAAATACGATATAAAAAACCGCGACGAACACAAGTATGTGAAACAGAACTCGAATTTATGAGCGAAATTCAAATTCGTCGTGAAAAGACCGCACTCTATATCTTATGTTTGTTAGATGTTGTACCTACTTTCTATAGCTATTGAATGGATATACGGGTTGGATTCACTTGCTGGGGGCTGAGTGTGATATTGGTCGCTACACGCCGGTCGGCGGCACGTATCACAAATAATTCACATCAAAACCTTTATTGTACTGTGTTATATCTCTGTTAATCAATTTCGTGTATATTTCACTTACTGAAAAAACGTATTCTAATAGTGTCTATCTATAAAAATTAAGACAAAAAATTTATAGTGCTTTACTGTGATTTTTATTTATTAATTAAGTGAAAATGTCTGTGGAAGGCATGGAATACGACACCATCGTGCAAAATGGGCCGAAAAAAGTAAGATACTTTTAATACTTTTTTATTTTTAAAAATTAAGACTTTTGAGGCTAAAATTATACAGCCTACTGCTTCGTCATCAGTAAAAATGCCTATACTTAGGTAGACTGAAACTGTTATATCGAAAGGGGAGGGATGCAGGATGTCCTATAGGAATGTCTGGGCGCATTTCGGTAGGTATACACACGACGCAGTCGCGTCTCGAAAGCTGGTAATGCGTTTATCCGTGCCTTTGTTTTTAAGGCGGGAATCACAAATAAAAACAAAATTCGTGAAAAGTTTAGTAAATAAAAAATACTCTTTTTCGTAATAATTAACATATAAGCTTTTTTAATTAAGCCCTATGTTACTAAACTGAAATAATTATTTTTACTGTATTTTTCTACTTAATTTTTTTCTTTTTAAGTACTACATAAATTCATCAAGACTTCTAGAAGAGGTCTACACAATTCCATTCATAAAATTTCAAAAACAAATTTCACATCCATCATACAAGTATTACCTACTTTTCTTAAAGTATAAAAACAGAATTCATAAATGCATGCATAATTTTTAACTGGCATAAAAAATGGATTTCACTTGCTCTTCACTTACGTACGTACTTAAAAAAACTTTCTATGAAAACTACATGTACTTTTAGCCATTTATTTACATCATCATAAATCACTCGGCATTTATTGTGACAAAAAAGTATCATGAATGCATAATAATATCATATTTTATCATAATCAGGTTTGATTTGAAAAATGCGGTGGGAAAAATAGAATTTAATCAACTATTGACTTAGGAGTTAATAAACTTTTAAATTATAGACGACCTGTAACTTAATTCTAAATTGATAAATTTACAACAGTAAATAAAATAAAGGTTTTGCATCAACTTTTGAGTGTAATAAGATTTTTCGACTGATCTGATCATAGATTATAAGTTTTCTTCAATAGTTTAATTTTCTGGATTTTTTTCGCGGGAAATCATTATGTCTTTACAGTGGCCATTTTGAAACTCCGTCAGCCTTTGATTTATTTTTACGATACATATTTTTTTTAAGCAAATATTAGAATAGGCTCAGTATATTTATTTAAACTTCACGTAAGACACAAGACATGGAGTATAATGCCTCCATCTGAAATACCGAAATGATTCAAAATAAAAGCAAATTAACTATAATTTTCAAGTTCTTAGGCCTATGCGATTGTTATACATTGAAAATGAAATATTTTTTTCAGATTCAAGTCACGTATATTTGTTTTTTCAAACAAACCAAGCTTTTCAGTTATATTTTCAGAGCATACACTTGATAAAAAAGTTGTTTTTAGCCTAAAATGTACGTATACATATTATGGTCCGAAATCCTATTACTGTCACTTTATACATTATGTATATCATTTCGTTTATTGGAAAATCTCTATATATTATTGGCACAAATTCTATTTTACTTTTTTGGTTTATTCCTATAAGGTGTCACTAATTAATACTGTGCCAACACTAGATTACTTACCTATGTGTAGTATACGTATTATGAGTGTCAATTACGGACGAGCTGTGACGAAACATAGTTACCGTTTTTTTTTTCAATTTGCTACGGTACCAAAAAAAACGCTACATTTTGAACTTCGTTACACTCGGTTGAATTAACTCCACAAGTTCAACGAATGTCGTTATCAGATTAGATCAGCCAAATTCTCAAATTAATAACGAGTGGGAAAAAATCACATGAAGTGTACACATTACAATAACGAGAGAGTCGCAGACTGTTATTTTAACAGTATATTAATACGCTAAGCTACTAAACTCGAACTATTGCGTTCCACGGAAACTGGACGTATTCATACAGAAATGACTCAACAATTTACCATCGCTTTCATTCGTACATTTTTCAATGTTTTTGATACATTAAACTATGGCGTTTTCTGCGTATTTTCCATTTCTGATACCATCTAGCCGTGTTCCATGCGCGTAAGGCAATGTAAATTATTACGCTCAATCTTGTCAGACTCTCGTCTACTCTACGAGTACAAATTAAATTTAAAAAAAATTATCACAAATGAATCGCAAAAGAAATGTAAATGAGACTACGGTAATATTGGCAAAAATAAACTTTATTGTACAGTCATAAAGCATAATTGAAATCTTAGAACCATAATAGTGTATACCTAATATGTTTTTTACTAGTTGCGATGCCTAAACTAAGTCAATGATTACCTGTGTCTTAGGCATTTTTTAACTGCCTCTGTGGCCAAACCGTTACCATGCTGATCTGCTATGCGGAGGTCCTAGGTTCGATTCTCGGACTAGGAGATATATTTATATGGCCAATATTTATTTCTCTCGTGACTTTCGATGTAATTTGTGGTTGTCTATGTGTGAGTCCATGGCGCCCACGAAATAGAGTTTCCCTAGTGCGGACCGGACTATGAGTGTGCGTTAAAAGTCTTGTTTGTGCATAATTTCTTAAAAGTGGCTATATTTTATTAAAAATAAAACATTCTTATCGATACGACAATGGCATACACTGTATTATTGTGGCCTAAAAGTTGCTACCGGCACTCTCGTCACTAGTAGTAGCCGCCGTGATGAAGTATGGGACATGTTTGCCTTCTTGATGAAAGGATTGGCCAATCGACGTAACAGATTCGCCGATTGTTGTGCGCCAAACGTGCAGAGGACATGAATAGTACGCCATAACGAGAAAGCTGCTTTCGTGCACCCCAAAATAAAATCAAACAATTAATTATTGTAATATAATTTTTGGTGACCGTTTGGTGGTCGTTTCGTCATAGATCTCAAATCAGTATTGCCATTTTATTAAAAAATAAATAAAAATCCGAACTTCCACCTAGACAGCCTCGTCTGTTATTGTGCTGCAATTTTATCGCATTTTATGATGATAAGGATTTTTCTGATTATTATCAGCGTTTTAATAATTCTGCTGGACAAAATCCACCATAAAAACGAGGCTTTGCCATAATCGACGCGTTCTGCAAACTGGTTGTTTATAATACACAATAAAAAAAGCCGCTTTAGCACTTTACACCGAATTTCTCCGTTAACCACTTTATAAACCTTCTAACGACAACGGTCATATCAAAGAACCTTAAAAATATAAAAAAATAAATAAATTATCGCTGGCGTTTCAAAAGTTACGACATTGTCTTTTGACTTCAAAGATCTCATTTTTTGGAAGAATTTATTAAAAATCTCGCAAAACATTGGCTTAAATCGAATTATTTATTTCGCCTAGCAGTAAAGTATTACTGCGTTTCGGTTTTGAAGGGTAATAATGGTGCTAGTACAACTGCAGGCATATGAAACCTGTCAACTTTATGTCTCAAGGTAGTAGGGTTCAGTGGCAGTTCCCCTAAGTCTTGGAAAGTAATTCTTCACGTCTAAACAAAGATCTCTGAATTTCTTCAACCTGTGCAACCAATCTTAACAATACAATGGAATGCTTAGAACATACCACCGTTACTAGCTGTTATGGCAAACAGTTTAGCATAACTACTATTTAAAGAATAGCTAGGTACTATCTCGAGGTAGAGATTTTTTGCATTTCTCTACAACTGTACGTTTCTGAAAATACCTGTGACCTGCCGTGACCATGAGACCTGTACAAAGTCCGAATTTTTCGTTTGAAAATAACAAATATACGCTGTTTGATCCGAAAAAAGTCTCATTGCTAATTTGTATCAATAGCGATAACTTAAGAAGTCGATTTATACAATCATAATTTTTTTTTATGAAATGTAAGTGCGCATTTGACCTCCATCTCACCGGATGGAAAGTGACGATGAGGTCAACGATGGAGCATTCACACCTCAATAATGCCTATTCACTCTCGCCTTGAAAAGGTCCAAGTTATAACGTTCAGGGAACAAGTCTGCAGGCAGGTGATTCCACTCCCTAGCCGTAAATGTGGAAGCGTAACGCTTCGTGTCGATCTTTGGAATATTCACAACCTAGGGGTGTAAATTATTAATACAGAGATCGAAAAATTAGAAAAAAATTCCTTCGATCCGGCCGGATTCGAACCGACGTCTACTAGCAAACCGTGCCAGACGCTATGCTACGATTAACTAAGCCACGGAACGAACCAGCGGACCTCACGAATTTTTCTATGTTCTTGCTTGTCGGATCTTTGTATCTGGTTTTTAACGACTTTTTAGCCTGTTTCATAGACTTCTCATAGATGGCGCTACGGCGTATTTAATCATGTTATCATCATCATCATTCAGCCCTACGACGCCCACTGCTGGGCATAGGCCTCCCCCAACGATCTCCACGACGATCGGTCCTGCGCTGCCCGCATCCTTCGGCTTCCCGCGACCTCCACCAGATCGTCGGTCCACCTGGTG